TGAAATTACTAAACTTCTCTGAAGATGTAGTTGCTTACGTATCGTAAGTATTAGTTTTTGGGTACTACTTTTAATTTAAATAAAAGTATATCTTATAATATTATGGATTTAATAAGAATAAGTTCTTCCATGTAGTTTATTAGTATCTTAAAACACTTAAAATCTCTTTTTATTAGTATTCTTACAAACGCGATAATCCAAGTATTTCTTATAGGAAAATAGTTTTAAAAAATTTTCATGTAAGTTTAGCTTGAATGTTGCAAAAACGTAGTGTTACATACAAAAATTTTCACATGCTATTTGCTAAATGAAAATGGAATAATAGTACTATTAAATAAAGATAATTATGTTACAAAAAAAAAAAAATTATTGTAGGTTGCTTATTCAGGATTTGTTACGGCATCCTTTAATTTGAAACTTTTTAAATATATTGACTGTAAATATTGTTTAATAATACAGTATAGCTAATAAAACTAACGGTTATAATAATACGATATAGTTATAAGGCTTTTCTTAGTATTTCGTCACCAACAATAACTTTTGTATCCTAATCTCTATGCTTTTTTGCTTTTATGTACCTGTAAGAACACACTATTTTGCTTTTATCGAGCATTCATTGTTGGACACTAGAAAAGATATTAGCGCTGCGTGAGAGTTCTCTTTAGCTACGCCACTGGAATACACCGTCCCCACCAGAGGCCCAACAAGAAGGACCCTGACTTCTTCTCGTGTGATAGAAAGCTTATAAAATGACGTTGTCATGCAAGCAACTTCTAGTATTTTTAACTTTAATTACATAACATAGTTTACTTAATACTCCTACTACCTAACAACTAGTAGGAGATTACAAAGTTTTCTATATAGTGACTGTTCCTTATTATAAACGTATACTTATAAGTCTTGTTTAAATTTTCTTTAAGTATAAAAAATAACTTCATAACCCAGAATTACAATCTGAACTCTAGGGCCAGATATTTTAACATTGTTCATTCCTGACTGTAATACTTACATGTGTAAAGATTTCAGTGATAACTGAATCAGACCAGAGGAACATGAAATGAGAATTTTATCCTGATACTTATTTTAGTAAGATTTTGTGTCAGAGATTTATCCTGAAAACACCTTAAGTGTAAGCGAAAACCTTAGTTGGTACTCAAAACTGTATAATTTTTTATTTTACTTGCAAGCAAAACCCCTAAGTCCCTTGAACTCATTAATGTTATAGTTACACTCAAGAAATATTGCGGTCTAAAAAAAAGAAGTGAAAAAAGTAAGTATTGTAAAGATCAGTGATACTTATAAATCACTTTTCATTTTGGTAATTAAAAAAAATCATAGAAAAGGAGATGCTGTAAGAATTTTCCTAATTTTAAATAAAGATTTAATACTATAAGCTAACATAATATTTCTGTAATCTTAAAATGATGACTAATGAGTATAAATAATTATAATATCAGTTAATCAAGCATAAAGCATGCTGTGATGAATTAAGTTAAACTATCAAGTTGAGTATTCGAATATAAAATTAAATAATAATAAAATGTCGAAATTTTTTACGTTAAATGATTAGCCTCTTATACCATTAGCCATTCAAATAAGTTGAAATTTATCCAAAAACTATGGCTATAACAACAAATTTGAGCTGACATAGAATATCAACGTTTATAAGGGCACTAAATTATTTTTATTTTGAATCAGTAAAAATACAAAAGAGTGTTTATGAATACATTTTATGACCCAGCTCACTTTGACTTGTAAGAAATATAATAAAAAACATTTATACTTAGGCAAATGGGATACACAGAAAGATTTTGATGCAATGTAACCGCAAACATATGTTTAGATAATGAGCCCAAAAATGTAAATTTCTGAGGATAATGTAATACAGAAAAAAGTATCTAGTCACAGTTCCTTAAGGTAATGCCTAAATAAATCCAAGGACATGTTATTTCGAAGCAACTTTACGCTTCTCTTGATAACTAACGAGAAAAAAAATGACAGTCATAAAAGAAAAATGTGTTAACACTATGAAAGTTAAAATAGTCAGTACTTAACAGGAAACCATGTTTTGAAAACTTAGCGCAACGCAGCAACAAGTATTCTTGAAATTTTCTTTCTCATTATTTCTGAGGAAACTTCTATTAAGTGTGCAAATAATCAACAGATGTTAGTGAAAGATCTGTGTTTTACTGATGAAGCAGCGTGTTCTGTGTAAACGCTTAGTTAAGTTCTACAGCTCTTTTAAATCTATTTATATTCAGAAAAATTTTGAATGAAATGTTGTTTTTGTACTTGACTAATTAACTGCAGCTTTCACGCTCTCATCAAATCAGGTTTGTTTAAAAATGGTTACTACAAAGTAATGTGCTTGATTATAAGTTATTTGATTAAAATTTTTAGTTCTCTTAAAAATAAATTTCTAGTGAGTATCAATTAGTTAATAATTATTATAAGCTACATGATTACAAGTTATTTGTTAAAGGCTTTGATTATGATTCTCAAATCTTTTATAGCTGCTATTAGTAGGAGCTTTTTAAAAATAGTATCTACGTTATAATATTGGTAAAAAAAAGGATATTACAGACTAACGCGATTAAGAACAAGTCGATACTACTCTTGTAGCTGATACCTTAGTTCATTTTTGACAGTACTAGTAATTACTCACAACACAGAGAAACTCTCTGGTCAATATTCGTAAGTGTTTTTTTGCATGTATTCAATGTGTTCAGTAATCTAAAGCAGCGCCACCTGCTCGGCAAGCAGGAGGTGATGCTGGATTATACGATTACATAGCCTGTTGTAGGCTGAAAAACTTGTAAATGCTTTTTTGCAGTTTTAATGCATTTTTGCTACTAAGAGTATGGATTTTTAGTGCTCAGAATTTGTATTAAAAAGGAATTAATTTTAGTTACATGATTCACTTAGTTACTTTTTTTAACTATAAAATAATAGTTGTTATCTATTCAAACCACATTCTTTTGCGAAGAAAATCGATACTTCAAGTATCGAAAATACATCAAAACTACAAAAAACAGTTAACTAAGTTTGCAGCCCATAACATACTATATAAACTTGTTATTCAGCATTGCCTTCTTCTAGCCGTACTGATGGCGCTTTTTTAAATTACTGCACATACTGAATACGCTCAAAAGTTCGTGTTTAACTAATTTTAAGTGTATTAAAATGATATTGTGAGCAGAAAAGAAAAAATTTCTTAATGAATACTGACGGATAATATTAAAAAAAAAAAAAAAAAAAAAAGGACCACAGTAAACTAATTCATACTCATTATAGAATCTATCAATGTTGTAAGCAATAGTGAGAGAATTCCTCGATCAATTATGTGTGAAAATGATGTAAATTGTTAAAATGTGGGTTGTAAGACCAAACTTCTAGTAATTTGTGGAAATAACTTTTTACATTTGCAAGTTTTTAAGCGATTCAGCTTGGACTTTAAGGTAGCTCCCTTGTGAAACCCTATGGAATAAAATATGTTACATTTAATAGATTTTGATCTACTGAATCTAACTGGGTCATTGTTTCTACCCCAAATGGGGCAAAATCTCGAAATATTTTAGCTCAAAGTTTAACCTTTGACACCAGCTTATATGGCAGAGCATAAAAATATCAGCTCTGCAGGCATTTCCCAACTTGCAATAAAAAATCTAAGCAGACAAACTATGACGTACTTGTAAAAAAATTTCTGTTTTTCTTAATCCTGTCATGTTAAATGCTGGTAACGAGGCATTTTTGTAAGATATTTGCCAAGAAAGACGTAAAAGTCAGCTTGATTCTGATAAATGACAGACAGTAGCAAAATACAAACACTAATGTACGTATATACGTATACATACATAAGTGAAACTCTTCCACTTGACTAGAGCAGTAGACAAGGGAGCTACCTTAAGAAGTGTTTGAGGTTCATACTTTTTCTAGACAATTTACATGGATCGTCTTAAAAAAAAATGTTTGAATAAGTCATTTTTTCATTAGTTACCGTCATATCACAAATTAGTGAAAAATCCCTTATCTTGTTGTCCTGCAGCCTCATATGAAAACTTTCTTGCGAAATTCCCTGCAATCTTTCCTGCATGTATATGTATATTTCTCTTAACTCCTGCAGACTAAGTTGCTTCTATTCCTGTGGGCCCCCTGCAGACTGAGCGGTCTCAGATATAAAAAAAAAATTAACGTCCAATTTTATTTTATTCGTGGCAAATTAGCTGATATAAAGTATTTTTGAGAAAATTTTTATTAAGGACGTTCGGTAGTGATTGAATTTTCCAACGAATTTTTCTGAAATTTTGACCAGACGTTTTTATTGTTGTTACAATAAACCAGTCAAAATTTAAAGAGGTTCCTCTGTTTCGTTTTCGAGATATTGAATTTCAAAGTTAAGTCATTTTAACACTGTCGCTTATGGGAGAACTGACTAAATCACAGTTTTAAGCAAATTGGGCCAGTGAATGTGGCCAATTTTTTTATATGTTACAGATAATGTTATTAATTTGATGTATACCAAGTTTTGCGACGATCGTCTGATTCGTTTATAAATAAAAAATTAAATAAAAGCTCGACCGAAACGCAACGGCAACGTCGCAAGTGGCGGGAAATTCAAAATGTTCCAGGATGTTGATCAGTAAATATCTCAATATTATTGTAGATATTTATGCATTCACGCATAAAATACAAGCTTACGTGTGTGCGTGAGTGTATGTACAGAACGCCCACCCCTTCCCATAAAAAACAATAAATGTTAATAACACGCTATTTATTTTTTTTTTTTATTTCAAATTTATTATTTCTTCTTAAGATACAATTTTTTTGCACATTACAAAATCACATGCTCATAGTTTGAATCACTCATCTTAGAAATCATCCTACTTATCTGACATCCCATGCTGTATGAGACTTGTCAAGTCATTTAAAAATTCAAGTATTTTATTTACACTGGTAGCTCTTTTGATTAAAGGGCTTTGCCCATTTATTAGAAACGATCTTAAACCATCATTACCTTCCATAAATTTATCAACAATAATATTAAAATCTACTTTATTTTGACTTAGATTTTTAATCACTGTTTTGGGAATGATAGACGATATGGGGGAAAAAGTTGGCGAATACATTTTTTCATCAGAAATTCTTTGAATTTTCGCAAGAACATCTTTTACGGAAAACACGTTCGTTGAAATATCATCCCATGAAAGATATGTAGCGGTTAATTTACTGTTAACAATTATACTGTTTGGCTTTGGGCATTCTTACGAATGAAATCTACAAATAGAAATACAATTGTTACAAGTCTTTCTAATTACTCATTTATTCATTTTCACTACACTTTTATAATAAATCAGTAACAAATACTTACAGCTTTATCACAAAAACATTGATACACGAACGCTGTCGTAACCGACGCAGCAGGCAGCAGACGAGCAGACAGTGTAGAGTGTGCAGAGACACCTGATGCGTGTACATGAACACTCACACATTTAAGACCCGTACGACGTTGCCAAATCTTCATTCATCGCTGGTTTCCCCTCACCGCGCAAATGTTTCCCCCCGCTAACACTACCGAACGTCCTTAATACATTTTTTTCTAATTTGCAGTGTTTCAAACATTATTAAAAAATATTTTAACTTCGTAGTTTAGGTATTATTATTCAGATCTGAACAGTAAATGCAACTGATGTAATTTAATCGAATCGGATCCAGACACAACTTTGCTTTTTTAAATTTTGACAATGCTTAGTTTTCAGGGAATTTTTCAGAAAAGTCTCCATACATGTCTGCAGCTAAGGCTGCAGCTAAGTCTGCTTGTAAAATTGCAGATAAGTCTGCAGGAAAGGCTGCAGAATAATAATGTAAGAGATATTTTATTCATCATGTTTTGTTTAATATTAATAACAACAGTAGAAACATCTTGATAAAACTTTATTTGCAAATGAACTGTATTTTACTCAAGTCTGTAGGAAATAATAATAAAAATATTTTTAACTAAAACTAACTAAAGTCATGAGAATACGCTTCCTAAATTTGTTGCTAACTTACAAGAAGAATACCGTTTTACGGAGTTTTGAACAGTAAAGTAAGTTTGATTGAAAAAACGAGCAGTGTTTAGTATGAGTAAACATAAATTATATTTTATCTTAATGTTAAGCCACCATGAAATTCTGTAACATTTTGATGTGAAGGAGAAAGGAAGGGCATGCGTAAGTTCCGTTCTTTTGACGCATGTAGGAGAGCAAGCTGGATGTGGGAAGTCCCAATTTC